TGGAAAGCGAAATGGATCATGCACGCACGTAATAAATTATCAAATAAACTTTGGAGGGGGCGGGGGGACTTGGAACACAGAAAAGGAAACTAGTAATTAAAACGATTGGTCTAATTGTTACATACTCCCCTACTTAAACATACGTTCGTCATCGAACGTGCCAATAGCCATTCCCAGGCCAGCAAATAGCTGAATAAACTCATCGTACTCATACCCATGAGTAACCCCATGCTACCACAATCCATATAAGTCTATGAACACGACCCTGACTAAAGATTTTTCCTTCGACCTTAGATACATGGCGTGAAACTAAATCCAATATTCGAAATCCCCTATAAGATCTAATTCCTGTACATATACATTGTATCAATCTCATCAAGCTGCATCAAGCCGTCAATACACTGCAAAGATTAAACCACACGATGTACCCATAACTCATGTACTCACATCAGTAACCTTCCGACCACAATAGCTGCACATTACTACACCTAGTATCAGTAAAATATTTCATATAAAATAAAACCTTGTTCCAAACCCTTGCGACGCTGCTAATGACAAAAGAAACATGCAAAAAACCATAACCATCCATGAAATCAATAGTCGTGGAGTTCTTTTGTCCGACAAGGATCATTACCAAATTATGCGCAGAATAATGATATTACTCTTCCAAACATTCCTTAACCCAATACGATAGTGCAAATTCCAGGTCCAAAAACCTTATCTCACCCAGTACAAGCAGATTAACAGACAGTTCACACCAAAAGCCACATGTGTTTAACTAGAAAATAAGAATTTCGTTCAAAGCCTATTTTTAGAGGTACCCGGGTTACTGATAATCAAGAAAAGGAATATTTTTGCAATAAGAAAGGAAAATTATAATATGAAATAGTAAAGCAATCAGCATAAAGCAAAAGTAAATAATTGTATTCCAGTAATAATCAGAACGTATCCATACAAATGACATTTCTCTTCCTTATATAGTCATCTCTAAGTACAACATCTTTTCCCTTTTATGATCAAGTCATTATGAGCATTAATGACATTAATGAAACGTTATAATTGGTAATCGTAACTGTTTCGTGAAGATTCTGTAACGTTTGTAATCATTCATGCTCATTAATTGAAGACCAATGAACCTGTCCTTTTTACTGTCTTGGTTCATTCCACCGGTGTCTCCTCAAATTATTAAAGAGACTCGAGCAACCGCTTCTTCTCATCTCTTAGACGTTTTGCTCGTACCTATTAAGACTCACGTCTTTTTTAAGTACTCTTCTTCAGCTGTCACTTTTCTAATGATCGGCGTGTCTTGCCATATCAGCCACATAGTTAATTCCATGTGTAATACTTATTTTCTCCAATACAGATAGTCTCTCCACTTGCCAATTATTCAGCAATTGAATATTTGGGAAGTGGATCTCATTCAAAGCGGGAATTTTTGCCGCCATTTCTCACATACCATTATACCTTCTTCTGAACTGATGCGTCATATGACATTTCCATTTAATGCATATGACATATGGTGGTCATCGATTGGCTCTGCAAATCTTCAGCGGATTCTAGGGCATTTTTACGGCTGCATCAATCACGAAGTGACAGTTTTCATAATGATGTTTCCATCATTACCTTTTTCGTATGACGGTTGCTTTTGCGTATAAATATACCATTTGCCTTTACTGTCACGATTTTTTTTCTTCAGTGTTCTTTATCCACATCCTGTTCTTCAATATGTTCTACTTCTCCATACAACTATGTCTTCTTCAAACCCTGATCCTCGAAAAGTTCTCATTGTATATGAACTCCCCATTGCTCCTACTAGAAGTAGGAGATGTGGTAGGTTGCGTAATTTAGGGCCAGTTTCTATACGAGGTTCTTCTTCTCAACCTAGTTCTACTCCTCCATCGTCTTCTAGAACTTGGGCTTCTTTTTAACATAGATCTTCTGCTAGAAACAGAGATTCTAGTGAACCAATTCGTGAACCTTCTGTTGATGAGATCATCCCTGCTGAACTTTTCTTATATTCTGATAGAGAATCAATTAGGAATCAAGTCACTTCTATGATTTCTCATGATCGTGCTGATGTTTACCCTTCCCAGATTACTGAGGGTTTGATTTCTATTGTACGTAGAAACTGTCATTGGAAATTTGATTTCCTAATTCTGGTCACCAATGAGAACCAAATGATCACTTCATTTAAAGCTGGTTTTTCTTTTATGTATACATATCCCTTCGCATTAGGTTTTAGGCCTCCTACTCACCCAGTTATCGAATTTTGCCATTTTTTTGATGTGCGTTTATGACAGATTGGCCCTATTGTATGGAGGGTTGTGGCATGCCTTAGGTATTTGGAAAATCTGGCACAGTTACCTTTCTCTTTTTATCATCTAATCCATCTTTACTCTCCCAAGTTATTCCGTCATGGGATTTTTACTCTCGTAGTAAGAAGTAAGGGAGTTTTGGTTAGTCCTGAAGATGACAAAGATCGTGATTGGTATGCCCGATTCGTTGCTGCTCCTACAAGTGGGTTAGTAGGTGAAGAAAGCATGCTCTTTCCTGAGAAGTGAAACTTTGCACGTAAGTTTTTCTTTTATTTCTCTTTTTTTTTTTAATTTTTAAACCCGTAAACTTCCGAACTCATAACTTTGGAACTTGTAAAATTTCGAACTTCTAAACCGAAAGATGAAAAAACTAAAACAGAAAATATATAAAAAAATTATTTTTTTTCGGGGAAGGGGGTNAAACATTTTTCCTTAATTGGAGGAAAATGAGTTTTTAAGGAAAATATTTTCTAAAATATTTACGCCAACCAAATATGGAAAAATTGAAAAATATTTTCTAAAAAATGTTTTCCTTTCATACCAAACATACCCTGAGTCTTACTTGTTTTAATCAGTACTAACATCACCAAGACAGTACATTATTTTGATTTCCCAATTCCCGTCCTAATCCTTAACTCTGTTACCATTAAAAAGATACCCACTCCTATATTTGAGGTGGATTGATTAGGATTTGAAATTTATGGGATTATAAAGTTTAATATTCAATGAATTTCTCAATAAATATACAGGATTTAGATTAAAAGTATTGGATTTTATGAACGTGTACTTCCCATGCTATCTCCCCGGTGCTCCAATACCTTATACAATTATACTATATGTGCTACTTTCATGTCCAACCAAACATTCACTAGAAAATGATCATGAAATTGATGATCTTACACACTTTCACATGAGAACATTAGTGATCCATAAAATAATTCTCTAAAATAATATATTTATAATGGAGAACATTTTCCTCCCAACAATCGCATGATGAAAGTATTTTCAATGAAAAAGGTCATTTTTTTGGTATTTAATTATTGAAAATTATTTTCAAGGAAAATATTTTTAATCAAAAGGAGAAAAATGACTTGTCCTAATTATGTGTGTAAGTCATTGTCCTTTACAACTGTTCGAGCCCTTATTGCATGTTCGAGCTCTAAAGTTGAAGTGAGGCTTGACTCTCAAGTCATTCCCAAGAGAGGTAGTTTCAAGTACCTTGGATCGGTTATTCAGGGGATCGGGGAGATTGACGAGGATGTCACACACCGTATAGGGGTGGGGTGGATGAAGTGGAGGTTAGCGTCAGGAGTCTTGTGTGACAAGAAAGTGCCACCGTTACTAAAAGGTAAGTTTTATAGAGCAGTGGTTAGGCCTGCCATGTTATATGGGACTGAATGTTGGCCGGTAAAGAACTCACACATCCAAAAGATGAAAGTAGCAGAGATGAGGATGTTGAGGTGGATGTGCGGGCATACAAGGATGGATAAGATTAGGAATGAAGATATTCGAGAGAAGGTGGGTGTGGCCCCCATGGAGGACAAGATGCGGGAAGTAAGACTCAGATGGTTCGGGCACATTCAGAGGAGGAGCACTGATGCACCGGTGAGGAGGTGTGAGCGACTGGCTGTAGTGGGCACGCGGAGAGGTAGAGGACGACCTAAGAAGTATTGGGGAGAGGTGACCAGACAGGACATGGCGCGACTTAGGAATACTGAGGACATGTCCCTTGACAGGGAATTATGGAGGTCGAGCATTAAGGTTGTAGGTTAGGGGAGAGTTGGGAATATTTATACAGCACAATAGAGTGAGACTAGCAAGTTAGGAGTTAGACTAAGAATGTCATTGGTCGTTTATTGATGCAGGGCTTTACCTTCTAGTTTTACTATACCAGCCAGCTAGTTCGTATTTCGTATTCTGTATTTCATATCTCTTATATATTGCTGTTATTTTATTATGCATTTTTATGATACTAATATATCGGCTCCTGTTGCTTTTTTGAGCCGAGGGTCTCCTGGAAACAGCCTCTCTACCTTTCGGGGTAGGGGTAAGGTCTGCGTACATATTACCCTCCCCAGAGCCCACTTGTGGGATTATACTGGGTCGTTGTACTTAATCTAGCCAACCATTTGACATTATTATCAATAATCTTAATGCTAAAAACTTTCATCGAATGCTAGTTAAGTTGGTGACATGATTATCAATTTTGATGAAGCTTTCTCAAAGACTATTTTTTGTTCTCCAACCAAATATTTATCCTAATAAATTAATATGGACAACATTTTTCTTTATACCAAAGACACATTGATAATCCAATTATTTATCACATATCGGTGTAACAATTGGCGTTTTGTAAAAAGTAAAAAACTTTAGCTCATAAGTGATCAGGGTCATTTTTTTCTATTTGGTAGAAAAATACTTTCTTCTAATTCACTGATGTCATATCCATTAAATTAATGACATATTGTTTTCTTCGCCTTTCTGCTTTGAATAACAAATCACGCGGCCGGAGCTTAAAGAAAGATTTCTTTTTTATTATATATATTTTATTTATTCCACACAAAATAATAGTATTATAAAATTTCACAATAAAGTTATACTTGTACTAAATAATAAATATACAGTAGAATATGTCACTTTCCAGATATTGTACTGTATTAAGTATGTTGACCAAAAAAAAGTAGTGTATTAATTATGAGAAAGTTTATTTTATTACACAAATAACCAAATATGTTAAGATTGTTTTTGTTTACCTTTTGCCTATTTACATTTTGGTTCAAAGCTGAAATTCTGTTGGGGAAAAACAGAGGAGGGGCGCGCGGTTGTTTTTGAAATTCAACAAATTGGCAGTATGTTCATGGCGCCCTTCACCGCGCTAAACCCTAAATCGGTTATTCCCATCCCCCACGAAAGCCAACAAACAAACACAATATCTCAGACACTAAAAAAATCCAATCTTACGGTGTAAAACAATTTCTTCTACCTCTAAATCAGTTGTTTGAATGGCGAACGAAGAAAATAAGGCGGCGCCCACCAACACCAGTAGGGCATCCAATAAGCGAGCGTTTGATGATACCTTAGCCGCTGCATCCTCCAATGGAAATGATCCACTACTGAAACGGGTCGTGTTGGGCGAGCTTACCAACTTGGAATATGTTGTTGGGTCGACCAAAACGAACACCCACAACTCCAAACACAAAATCAAGTTGAAAAAAACTGCTCCTACTAAAAGGAAAAAAATTGCTATACAGAGTTTCAAGTCCGATGCTGCTACTAATTTTAGCCCTAATGATGACTTGCAGAAATGTGCTTATGCTCCTCTTATATATCAGCATCTTCACTCCTTGGAGGTACAATAATTTTGGCAACTTTATTATGTTATGCCACTTATTTGAACTTCTTTTTTATTTGGTTTGTAACTTGCTCCAAAAAGAAAAAGGATGACACGGGTTTAAATGGATATTGAGTATTCTTATAGTCGATCCAGATTAATTAGGAATTGAGGCATGGTTTTTGAAATTAAATGGAAATTTGTTGATTAGCATTTTTGTTTGTTTTGCTTTTTAATTAATGCGCGAATGGACAGTTGGATTATTTTGTTAGATTGCCTCATAAGAGTTGTTATTATTTTGATGATCTGATATCTCGCTCTCTTTTTTGGAATATCGTAATAGTTTCTATTTAGATAGTAAAGTTGGTTAGCCATTTTTTCCCAGCTGGATTTGGATGAAATTTTTGCTCACATTTAGGGTATATTTTGCATCTTGGCTTTTGAAGTATTCTGTATTTCCATAGTCCGTATTTTTGTTAGACTTCTTGATCACAAAAGCCTGCTTCTGTTTCTTGTACAGTGCTATTCTTATTTTTTATGTGTTACTATGATTTATTGTTATCTTGAATTTGTAAGTTTCTGCTCTCTGAGGTTCAGCTGCATTTGTGTAAATAAAATTTATCATTCATTTAATGATCTCCATTATTGTTCATCCTAGTTGAAAATTATGTTCATGTGCTTTATAGGACAATGTTGTTACCGACCTTTTCTTTTTGAGGTAATGGCAAGGTGGGTAATGACATGGGTCTTCCTTATGATAGCCTGGTTACTGTTAGACAAAGGTGGATTCATAAGTTAAAGGCAATGGTACATTTCTAAATATTAGTCCCTCGGCACGCGCATTGCCCGTGTATGTCGAGTCATGTAGGAACTTTTGATTATTGAACTCAAAACTTTTCTTAGTAAAACAAAGAACTCAGCCAATGTTTTCCAAAAGCGCTTGCATACATCATCTAATTAAGCCTCAACTCTTCTATCATTCTTAATTAACTCGAAATTTGGATTAAATGAAGTACTGAACTCTTTTATATTTAAGTGACTAAATTAACTTAGCACTTTCTCAATGTAATGAGATTGACTCAATATATATAACCCCATTATTTCTTTTAATCTTGATACTTAATAAGATAACAAATTTTCAAGATCCTTTCTTTCATATGTGGAAGATATAAACCCATCGTTTTTATCTTGCCATTCATACAATTACTTAAAATCAACAAATAAAATATAATACAAAACAATCATATATCTACCAAGAATTTTGTGAGAGTTGAAATACAAAATTTGAATAAATATTTTATATCTCAAGTACTTCAAATTATATTAAATACTAAGTCTAGTAGTGACTTTTAATTATAAATCAAACGCCCTAAAACTTTGAGTATTCTAAGTGGCTTTTTCATAAAATTTATGTATCAAACTTTACTCACTGCTTTTCATCGTCAAGTTAAAGTGCTATAACACACATTTTCTTCTAAAATAACATTGGCATATAATGTCTTTACTCTTTAATAAAAAAAATGATACCAAATATAAATATCATTTTTTATGATTTAAAAATGGTAAAACAGTTTTAACTTTTAGATATCTTCCTTGCAGATGAAGTATTTCATTTTATCTCATAACTTGAAAGTCAAATCCATCTGCTCCTTACGTAACATAGTTATTTGTCAATTTAAAACTTATTTTATTTGTCACGAATAATTAATTTTAATGAGCATATATCAAAGAGGTTGTTTTTAAACTTAATATGCATTTCAAGATCATCATAGGTGTGTCATCTATTCTAATATTTCTAATAATAACATTTTCAAAATTTACCAAGATTGGAAATTCATAAACAAATAGAAGTAGAAGTAAGAAAGTAGAACCTGAGTTTAATCACTTTCTTCTCATTTTACTACTTTGATGTTGTGTCTTAGATCATCACAAAGTCAAAGTCAAATGGAAAACGTTTTTAATTTTTTCAATTTATTTTAGGCTTGTGTCACCTCATAAAGGGATATGTTTGCCTTTGGCGTGATGCATAACTTGAAAAACCTTTTACCAACATGAATCATGAATTAAAATTGCACGGCTTCAGCTTTGTAACATCACATGCACCAAAAACTTTTGAGAAACTGCCTCCTTGCTTACCCTCTCTTTTCTCGAGCCATCAAAACAGTTAAGATGGACAAAATCTTAGTCGGTAGTTCACTATTAATCTCAGCCCTTTTTTTCATATGTGCTTCTCCAATCAATTTGTAAAATCAGCAAGTTTGTGAATTGAATGGTTCTGTTGAGCCGAGGTTCTCCCGGAAACAGCCTCTCTACCCTTCCGGGGTAGGGGTAAGGTCTGCGTACATCCTACCCTCCCCAGACTCCACTAGTGGGATTTTACTGGGTATGTTGTTGTTGTTGTGAATTGAATGGTTATGACTGTTATGCAAGGGTATTAAGCATCAGGTTGGTATTGTTTGTAGGCGTCTGTTTTTATAAAGAGGGTAATTAGGTTTTAAAGAAGGGCAATTAGTAATTTAACTTTTTAATTAAGGGCTTCCCACTTCTAATATAATATTTAGATATGCATCTATTCTTAAGAGACAGTGGATATACCCGTGCAAACGCTGCTTATATGCTGGATACATCTTTTCAACAAGGTGAAAGACCCGATGGCAAATGACTATCAGCTTTGTATTTTCATGTGGACATAAATGGGTGAATTTGTTGAAGTGTTTGTACACTATCAGGAATTGTGAGAAATAGGCGAAAAGCCAAAAAGGGAAGAAGGCTGTCTCACCATTTTTTCAGTTTCATTTGTTTTGTAAGACTTACCTTATATGTCCCAGTAGCTTATTGTAAAACTTTGTACATTTTGTGACTGCTCAAGGACTTCACCGAATTGAAATAAATTCCTTCTGAATGCATCAATCTGATGCTGAATTGTTATCTAGGTTGAGGCAAGGAGGAGGCCTTTGTCTAACTACATGGAGAAGGTTCAGAATGATGTGACTCCTACTATGCGAATGATTTTAGTTGATTGGTTAGTGGAGGTGGCAGACGAGTATAAACTTGTTTCCGACACCCTTTATCTCACAGTGACATTCGTCGACAGATTTTTGTCTTCTCACGTTATGGCCAGGAATAGTCTCCAGCTACTTGGTGTATCTTGCATGCTTGTTGCGTCGTATGGTTCTTGAAACCCTTATTTCTAAATTAAAATTGTTTGTCACATCAGATTTATTCATTTTGTATACTTGATGTTTCAGAAAGTATGAAGAGATCAGTCCTCCTCATGTTGAAGATTTTTGTTATATTACAGACAATACATACACCGGAGAAGAGGTTGATTTGCATCTCTTTCAATCATTTTGTTTAGTAGCATGCAAACTCTTTTACTGAATGAACTGGATTTGAGTTTCAGGTAGTGAACATGGAGAGAGATTTGCTCAATTTTCTGAATTTTGAGATCAGTAATCCCACCACAAAAACTTTTCTCAGGTTCGGATGCACACAAGATACTACTAGAAGCAGTTGATCGCCATTTCCTACTTCAAGCCCATAAGTCAAATCCTAGTTGTTGCCTTTTCTATTCATGCATTTATCTCTTGGTAATCTAGAGCTCTATGGATACTCGACTAAATGGCTAACAATGAAATTTTCCTTGGTGAATTTGCAGAATCTTCACCAAGGTTTCCCAAGATAATGTTGATGTAAGTCATGCTTATACATCTCTGGTGCTTTCAAGATTTATTTCCCAGTACTTATTCATTACTTTCTCTCATGTAGTTTCTAACGTTGCACTTTGAATTCTTGGGCTGTTATCTCGCGGAGCTGAGTTTGTTAGATTACAGTTGCGTGCGATTCTTGCCATCAGCGGTTGCTGCTTCAGCTATCTTTCTATCAAGATTTACACTCTTGCCTAAAGTCCACCCATGGGTAAGACTGGTTTCCTTTTGTCACATTTCATGTATTGGAGCATCTCACATGTGAATAGAGGTTATCACTTTGTTTGGTGATAGAATCAGCACTGAGAAGCAGAAGGGAGGAAAGCAGGAAAAGAAAAAGATGAGAACACTTCCTTTCAACAGGGGGAAGCAGTGGCTCTTTGTAACCTAAACATGACATAAGGGGCTTATTGAACTTAGTGTCCAACTTCACTTAGCTGTTTATGTTTTACTGATTTTTTAATCTCTAACATACACACAAATTTAAAACTACATTCTTCTAAAACATGGATGCGTCTTACTTGGTTGTTATAAAACTTCCATAAAGTTGAACTCATGAATACTCAATTAATGTTCTGAGAACTGTGATGTTAGATATATTATTGTATTAGAGATCTTCGTATCCAGCCGTAGAATCAGGTTTTTAATGTTGAGATCCTATATAACTGTATCTTTACTTGAATGACTACTAAACATGTAGTAAAAACCTAGCATGTTAAAATGAAGTCTAAATAGACCATTCTAGCTCAATGTCTCTTACGTGAAGCTGTAGCTGTAGTATATAGACAACAAGTTTTCAAACGTGAAGTGGTGAACAAACTATGGTCATGAATATGTGCCTTATCTTATGGTATATTTTTGTTTATATTATTTACAGTAAAACAGTTTTGGGGTATGGAAATTGCCAAAAGTGCTAGGATGATGTCTGGGCTTAGGTCCATATGTGATCCTCCTATTATCCTATTTTGATTCTACCAAAAAACCAGGATTATTAGGAACATATGCTTGTTAGGATCCTATGGTAACTTCAGTAATTGGACTTCCAACCTATATATATATATATATATATATATATATATATATATATATAGGATAGAAGGCACAGTAGACAAAAACATAGAAACTTGAGCGCTATTCTGGAATGTCCATTGTTATGCATTTAAGGCCAACAGTTAAATCACAAATTTAACACAATTATCATAATCACTTCATTCAAATCTGATATTCTCTCTGCTTAAATTTGAATGTCTTGGTTTGATTTTGCATAACAGTTGAAGTAACAGCTAAAAGTAGTATTCTTGTGTGCTTCTTGTTTAACAAAAGGAACATATGCTACCACAAATTAGCTTTTAGTATTATTTTAAAAATAGAATAGATGAGAAGTTGTATTCAGAAGTGTCAATGTGACTTTCATTTCTTTCTTTGTAGAGTTTAATTTGTTTGATATGTTTCTTTCAAGGAAAGTGGACACTATTTTGGCATACATTAAGAAAACAAATGTAGGCATTCAATAAAAAACTTGAAGAGTTTTAAAATCTAGATGGGTTTCTCATGCGTTAAATTCTCTAGAAGAAGCTTCTAAGATTTTACTTAAGAGAAACATTCAGCCATTTATGTCAAATGCTAAAATTGCCCGCACTGATATGTAAAGTCCAACAGTCTGAATCAGTTTTTTTGGTTTTGCAGAACTTGGCACTACAACATTGTACAGGTTATAAGCCATCTGAACTGAAGGATTGTGTTCTTGTAATCCATGAGTTGCAATCTGGTAGAAGGGCAGCATCTGTGCAGGCAGTAAGAAAGAAATACATGGATCACAAGGTACATAGTTTAGATTTTGATATGAAAGCACTTTCTAATGTACCCAGTAGTTTTTTTGGTTGTGAATTTTAATGTTGAAACTCTTAGTGGCACCATTAATTTTTGGGTGAAAATGCATTTGAGGGGCTTCCTCCTAAATAATGCAGCCACTAAATTTACTAAGCTTTTGCTAAGGGCACCGTGAGCTTAATTACCTGAATACTTAACAATTTTATCCGCATCCTAACGTATTCCACCCATCCCTTCGCCATTGGGATGCAGTACAAGTGTGTGGCCGCATTGCACCCTCCAGATATTCCTGCTTGTTTTTTTGATGATGCTTGAGGAAAACAATCGAATGAGATGGTCAAGCCAATTTTCAGCTTCCCCAAAGATAAACAACCAAAGAATATCACTGTACTGGATTTTGCTTGGAAGTACACCAAGCATTCATTTAAATTTTCTCCATAGCTGCTAACAGATTTCAACTTATCATTGTTTTCCCTGGCGAGAGACTTGAGGATTGCTTAGCTCCAGCAATGAACACAAGGATGTGAAACTCATTAGCTTCTTTAATGGTTTGGGATATGATGTATAGATTGTGTTAGTGCAGAATGATCGTTCATAAGCTGATGTTGTTATTTTTATTTTTTAGAAATGGGAAATTTTGTAAATTTTGTTAGTGTAAATACAGGTGGATACTGTTCATTGCAGTATCCTAGCTCAGATAAATATCAACTCCGCTTCAGTCTCAAATTAGTTTGAAGATTGACTATATGAATTCTTTGTGTATATGCATCTCTTGAGGAAGTTAAAATTTTATAGTGCACTGTTACGTTCCTACTTTAGCAAACTTGATATATATGGTCCAAAACATTAAACAACCCTCTGTTCTTGAAAGATTCCTTTCACATTAAACATCAGTTTTACAAAACTTACAAGTCTTACCCACCAACTACCAATACCATATAAAAAGAAACGGAAGTTTTGTGGAGAATTCGTAAAAAATCCAATCAGACCACAATTTAAGAATCTCCAGATTAGGAAAATACTTGAGTAATAATATCATAACTTGCATGAAGTCTTCATTAACTCCCACGTTCGGTCTTAACTACTTCAGCTTATCAAAAGAGACCCGAGTTACTCTTACTTAGGTAGAGGGACTTGTGACTTAGGTCACAATAACGAACTTAATTTAATATTATTTCTCGGTCATAACAGAAAAAAAACTACACAACCTTCCAAATGATTTAGAAATTTTGTGTATGTGTTGATAAGTATTCTCTATTTTTTTTGATAAGCATGTAGGCCGTATATTAAAACTTAAGGGGTCACTTGGTTATCGGTATGGGATAGAAAAGCATATTCCATGAGATTTGTTATTCCACCTTTTATATGAGATTACTAATTCCATAAATTTAGTACAAAATAGTTCTCGGGATTAATTAATATCCATAACCAAATACGAAATGAAATAATCCCGTAATTTATCCTAGAATTATTATCCCTTTTCCGACCAACTAAACGACCCCAAGAGTATTAAAGATATACTTAGATTGTATATTTGTTTTAGTACTTGTGTTTTCCCTTTTATGCTTAAGCTAAAGAGAAAGCATTACCGAAATGGAGGTCAATAGCTTCAGAGCTGATGTAGAAGGAACCTCCTTGATCGTCTTATGCACAAGTATAGCTTCAAAAAAATATTATTGATTGTAATTTCCAATACTCTTTCCTCTCAAATATAATCTTTTGTTATTATTTTTCTTTTTCTATTGTTCTATGTTTTGTCTTTTTTTCTTTCTTCATATTTTTCCTTTTCTGATTTTAGCTCTTTGTAATAACTTAACTTGTACTAGTAACTCTTTATAATAAGCTACTATAACTAGGTAATACTAAAAATAAGCAAATAATCTGTTACTATAATAAATTAAAATACAATATTATTATACTTTCCGTGTAACACTGTATATAAATTCAAAACTTGTAATAGTAATAAAGACCAAGTCATTCGCCCTGAGGACCGGAGAATTGAAACTTTTTGACTTTGGGCGATCGATAATGGAGTGGGAGAGTGATGATAAAGAACTAAAGGCGGCCGGAGCTGAACCTCTGCCGGACGGCCGGCGAGGACTCTGCATTCACGGTTGGGAGATCGAGTCTCGCAAGCTTTCCATTCTCAATTCTCTTCATCTTCAACGGTATTCTCCTTTTCCCCTCTCCCAACATACAAGTCGATTAACCCTCATTTGTCTTTCACTGGACTTATAATGCTTCATTTTTGCTTGTTTCTTGTATTATTAAAACTTATAAACATCTAATATCCTACTTTCTTAAGCTTATATGATTTCTGCAAGCATCGGAGATTCTGGTGCTTGTTCTGTTGCGTATAATTATAATTAGTGCAACTGCTAGAAGTCAAGAGTCTACAATTTGAACTGTAGCGCACCTCGACTAGTAGTCAAGAGTCTACAGTTTGAACTGTAGCGCACCTCGACTAGTAGTCAAGAGTCTACAGCTTGAACTGTAGTGCACCTGGACTATTCCACTGGGATATGTGCTATGTACCACCAGCATAGTACCGGGCAATATGGTTTAGCTGATCATTGATAAATCAATCTGCCAACTATGGAGGACCTGCAATTATTCTATATTATGCTAGAAATCAACCTACCATAATCCTACTTCTTTGGTCCCAAATATCCTCCTTTGTTGCAATTTGGTACCAGTATGCTTTATGAAAATCACTGAGCGGACTTTCTAATTGACTATTGATTGAAAGATAAATTGATTCCAGGCGCAGTACAAGTGTAGGACTTGAGTTAGACGCAACCATGAAATAAGAATTCAAGAGGAACCTCATTTACGGTTACGTGAATTCTAAGCGAAAAACTTTAAAGTGAGCAAGATTTTTCCTTTCTAGGACTCACCTTTTCTTCAATATGTACTAGACCTTTCATTCACAACAAACATCTGAATCATATTTTATATGGAATCTTAATGAACATTTGTTTTCTTCAATACCTTGCCAAGAGTTCCATGAACAGCAATGTATCACCTTTAAATTAATGGTTGGAGATGCTTTTGAGATTCAAGTGACCTGTCTTATTGTAGTAATGCTACGGTAAGAATTGGCTGCAGATTTTTTATGCCTTTAGATATATCCATTAATACTCTGTTTTCAAGCATCTGATATCTTCTTTATTGGAAAGGTCTAGTTCCTCTCTAACTGCTAATGCTCATATATATCTATATACACAGATGGGAAAAAGAACTTCAAATGTCTCACTTGCCGGAGATGGTATTTGGAGATAATTGTTTGGTGCTTAAACATGTGAATAGTGGCACAAAGTTTTTTTTCAATGCATTCGATGCTTTAGTTGGTTGGAAACATGAGGCATTGCCGCCTGTTGAAGTTCCAGCAGCTGCAAAATGGAAATTCAGGAGGTGGTCTATGTTGTTCTATTTTTTTTAACCTTATGCTACATCAAGGATTCTGCATATGTTTCTCCAGCTTTTCTGTTAACTTTTCTATCTATCATAAATGTTTAGAATGATCATGAAAAACCAGAGATAGCTATTTACCTGTACTTTGGTTTTGGTGGTTAACTTGCTTAGGGACTTCGTGCAATTCGATTGTTGAAAGTTTATTTTTTGTTTCACTCAAGCTGAAAAATGTCTATCAATAAGGAGGGCATTGAAGTTGTTCCAAGAGTTTTCATTTTTTTTTTTTTAAATTTTCTTTTATTGTGATTTGTTGGTAAAAGGGGGTTGGGGGAAGGGGTTCAGAACTACTTTAAAACTTTGAACTGGGACTGTGGGAGTGAAGAACCCTCAGGCATGCAAGTTATGTATCCTTGAAGAATGGAGCATCATGCATTAGGTTGGCAGTAATGTAATGGTTTTGAATGTTCTGTCCTGTAGTTCCTTCATATCTGATATGTTTTAATTATTCATCTCTTCAAATCCTACAATTTCAAGTTTGTGTATTCAATTATAGATAACATATATTATCTGTATTCCATTGTTGAGGAGGTAAGAGTTGTGACTTTGTTTGGTTCGCCTGGTTGGTGCTGACTGCAGAAATTAACACTTGAAGATAAGAACACTCTATTTATATTGTGCGGTTAATTTTTTTTTTCTCAATTCAAATGCGAGAGTGCTTCATGATTTGAGACAGTGCACACTTGATGAACATGCACCAATCAGATCAACAGTGAACAATTTAAACGAATGGATAATCTTAAAGCTACTTCAGAAAACTTCTGCTCCTAAAGAAAAGCACCAATCTTCCATTTTATCCAACAGCGCCTCCTGTGTCCTTGTGGTCAGCATCAAATTGAAAGGCATATATTACTTCTTGAAAATATGGCTGGCGCTAACTCTAGAACTTAATGATAGCTATTTTATATCAGTAAAAGCACATGTAATGGCTTCTATGATTGGACTCATTTTTGAATTGTGAATGGATCTCCCTGACAAAGATGCTAACTTACAGAACCTTCAAAACTCCACGGTCTAGAGAAGATTGGGTCCTACTAGGATCAACTTTTAGGCCTTTGGCTGAATAAGTGAACTGCACAACATGAGACTATCACACCAAATGAGCACTTCCTAAGCTCAAATGGAGCCTCTCTTGAAGAAGATAAAAAACTTCCATAACTTTTGGGAAATGAACATACTTCTCTCTTTAGCTATACAACCAAATGAAACAATAAAAGAATCTCTCCAAGCATATATATA